GACTAAAAATCATATTATCAGAGTAAGCTTTAGACTAAAAATCATGTTATCAGAGTAAGCTTTAGACTAAAAATCATGTTATCAGAGTAAGCTTTAGACTAAAAATCATGTTATCAGAGTAAGCTTTAGACTAAAAATCATGTTATCAGAGTAAGCTTTAGACTAAAAATCATGTTATCAGAATAAGCTTTAGACTAAAAATCATGTTGTCAGAGTAAGCTTTAGACTAAGAATCATGTTGTCAGAGTAATCTTTGGACCAAATGAATAACCTTATATCAACTTTTATTTTTTATCTTAATCTACAATATTTAAAATTGTATAGTGTTAATTTTTAAACTTGACTTTTAAGTACAAGTGTTGCAGATAATTAAATTGTGTGAAATCCTATATTGGAAAATAAACCATTTTAATATTGACTAGTATTTCATCTAGTTATTGATGGTGTTTAAAAAACACAAACAAAGATCCTTCCATTAATATAACAGCTGTCTGGAAATTTTCTCTGCTTTATGTCTCAATAATGAAAATCTAAATCTAATCAATAAACCATCAACTCAAAATTTCAACTGATATCAAGATGACTTGCAAAGCATTCATTTTTTAATTTTAACCAATTTTATCATATTTTTCACAATGTAAATCAGTAAAAATCTGAGTTGAAATATGCAGAATTGCTAGTTTACATGGAAACGTTGTTGTTTTTCTGCCCAATTAACTAAAATTATCAGTTATTTTACCTTCACTTTAATGTTTTTATTTTTGTAATTTTAAAATTCTAAGTTCACTCTAGTTCTCTGTGTAGGGGTTAAATGTTTTTAATATAATAATAGTAAGAGTTTTATTGCCGTGCTTGTGCTGGAGATTGATCCTAAAAGAAAATAGCAAAATGAAACAACTAAAAACAACATTATGAAAATTCTAATGTTTAAATGTTTTAAAAGGCATCAAATAATCCTCGTTCTGTCTTTGATCAGTAGCATCTTTGTGTTGAATGTTGTTGATCCTATGTATCTATGTTTGTTACAGTTTTCATAGAATAATGTGAAATGCTTTTTTTTTCCACCAACAGATGGCACCAGATGATGATAAGACATATCAAAAATTACTACTTCGTAGTAATGAAGAAACCGATTTATATCACTGCATCATATATCTCTCTCCCGGAGATTATCACAGATTCCATTCTCCAGCTGATTGGAGTGTAAGCTACAGGAGGCATTTTCCAGGTAACTACACTTTTGGTGTAAAGCATATGATTCTGTATCTTGTAGCTGGATCTTTTTCTTTGAAAATATAGAACCTGTATATGATAAGTTTATAGAAATATATTCTGTTTAAAAGCATCACCCTTTGTATGGTAGATATACTCATTATAAGCATCTAACCTATATAAAAGCCAGTGCATCATGTCACGTGTGATTTCTCAAAATAGGAGGAGTCATATAAGCCTAAATGCACTTATCCAGACAAAATAGTTCGATTCCTCTCTAACTGTTATGATTTTAGTGACGGGGGTGCAAGGGGGACCATGAGGGGGGGTGCCATGAAACCTTATAAGTGTAGTGAGTGTTGGTATGATTTAAGAAAATAAATAAGCCTAAAGTAAAGACATAGCGTGGGATCACCTAGCCTAGAGCCAAGTGCATAAAATTTATCATGAAAGTGAAAATATTGATTCAATTTTAAACTTAAATTGTTTTTGAATTAAGCTATTTTTTGTTATATCACCAACGTTTTTAATAAAAAACCAAACTCATTAATCAACAGAGATTAAATTTAGAAATCAACAAATATTCTTCCAGTTTTGTTGTCTATACATTACATTTTATACTTTCAGTACATAGACTAACGACAATATTAGGTTGCTAAGCAACATGACATAAAAGCCATTGTTGGAACGTAGTGTTACCAAAATGCACTGGCTTTTCTATATATTAGAAGTTGTTAATCTAACTGATTTTTACCAATAATTATTCTATGAATATGCCACGATTTCATTTCATGAATGATCTTAATTTTGATTGGTTCACAAAGGAATTTACCGACATTAGACTGCCTCGACTGCACTTTTCTGCTTCTCTGTTGGTTAAACTTGATTTCACAAAATGTACTTATTTCAGTCAGCTATGAAATATGAGGTTAGGGTATACTATGGGGTGGGGGTGGTAGTACTTACCCTGTCATTTTTGATGAGCTGTACACTGGTCTGTAATAAATTACTACAGACTACATAATTAGAGGAAGTGTAATGGCTAATTACACATTACGATAGTCAGAGAAAATAGGTCAAACTACCTCCATCAGGGAAAGTAGTAAGGCAAACTACCTTTATCAGGGAAAGTAGTAAGGCAAACTACCTTTATCAGGG